GAGAGAGGAATCCTCCAGTGACAACTTTTCCAAAGGCTCTTCCACACGTGAGATTGTTCACTGTTTGTTTTTATTTTTCATGTTACTTTTAAAATGTGAGAGAAAACCTACAGTTATACCACTGAACACATTTGTTTTTAGTTGTTCTTTGTATTTGTTTTTAGCTTAGCATTACCTTTACACCGTGGAATATCACAGTTGTGCCATAAGGTGTCAAATACACACTGAATCACACTCAAAACTCTGTCGTGTTCCTCTTAGCTGATAACCTGAGCACAGCCCAATCTGGCTCCAGTCTCTCTCTGGCCTCTGCAACAAATGAGGCCGACAGCGTCAACTCTGGAGGAGCTGGCTCCCAATGGTAACATCACTTTCTCAACTGTGTTGCCATCTGATCGAGGTCGATCTTTCCGACCTAAAGGCTCCTGAGGACGAGGGCATGACTGAGTACGCAGCAACAGAGGGAGGTGACGGAGAGCAGAAGTCAGTCCTGGGCTTTTTCATCAAGGTGAGACTCTCCCATGATTCAACAGTTTTTAAATCATTATTTCAGATATGGCTTTTCTCACAGTATTTTCCCCCATGTAGCAAAAGTAAATGAAGTATTAAAATTGTAATTAATTTCAATTGGTATGCTGCCCCTGCTTTAGCACTGCAACCCCTATGAGGGGCCCAACCCCCCACTTAGGTAACCACTGTTCTGAATACAACCCAAATGGAAGTTGAAGTAGTGCTGATAATCCATTCTTCTGTTTACCGTGATGAAGGATGAGCAAAAGGCCGAAGACGAGCTGGTGAAGAAGAGAGCAGCGTTCCTGCAGAAGCAGCAGAAGAAAGCCGAAGAGGCTCGGCTCCGTAAACAACAACTAAAAGCAGAATCTGAGCTGAAACGAGATGAAGCACGGTAAAGCAGTTCACACACACGACTAATGTGAAGGTTTTACACAGGATTGAGTGGTTTAAAACTAGGGAGTGTCACTGACAGACGGAAGGCTGAGGAGGAGCGGCAGCGGAAAGAGGACGAAAAGACACGGAGGGAGCTGATAAAGCAGGAGTACCTGCGGAGGAAGCAGCAGGAGATGTTGGAGGAGCACGGCCTGGTAAAGCCCAAGACTCCCAAACCCAAGCAGAAACACAGACCAAAGACTGTGTTGAGAGAGGAATCCTCCAGTGACAACTTTTCCAAAGGCTCTTCCACACGTGAGATTGTTCACTGTTTGTTTTTATTTTTCATGTTACTTTTAAAATGTGAGAGAAAACCTACAGTTATACCACTGAACACATTTGTTTTTAGTTGTTCTTTGTATTTGTTTTTAGCTTAGCATTACCTTTACACCGTGGAATATCACAGTTGTGCCATAAGGTGTCAAATACACACTGAATCACACTCAAAACTCTGTCGTGTTCCTCTTAGCTGATAACCTGAGCACAGCCCAATCTGGCTCCAGTCTCTCTCTGGCCTCTGCAACAAATGAGGCCGACAGCGTCAACTCTGGAGGAGCTGGCTCCCAATGGTAACATCACTTTCTCAACTGTGTTGCCATACTTGAATATTATATGTATATGTATATGTATATATGTATCTGTATATATATATATATATATACATACATACACACACACATTTTTTCTGTATATATATTTATTTATATATATAAATATATATTTATATATATATGGAAATTATTTGTGTAGAAATTTTCACCCGAGGTGTTTACCCCAGGGGTCTCAAACTCCCTGTCTGTGGGCCACTTTCAGCCCGTGACCCACAAGGATCCAGCCCCTAACTAGACGGTCAGTATAATGTGATCTGACCCCCTGCTGTTGGTTTTTGTCTCTTCAATGAGATTGCAGAGGTGACAGTGGCCCCCAGCTCATCGGTGTTTCAGACCCCGTTTTTGTTTTCCAATGCTTAAATACCTCACACTCTCACAACATTCTCCAGCTGTGACTCTGTGGAGTCGTTTCCTGGCAGTCGTAACAACAGTCGAGCTGCAGAGAGAGACTGGGACAACGGCTCCACGGCTTCATCCATCGCATCCTTGGCTGAATATACAGGTGAGAGCAAAGGTCATGTGCAAGCTTGTAATTATTATGGTTTGATTATAAAAACCTGTATTCATACAAATAGTTATTATCTATTTAGAGTCAAGAAAAGAGACCAGAAGAATGTTGGTATATTTTAAAAGTAACATCTACAAACTGTCTCTATTTGCTGGATATCTATGTATGTGGATGATACTCTAATTATAGGGCAGTTCTCTAAGTAAAAAAATGACTCCTTGACGTGTACATAGCGGTACTTTGCAGTGCTTACTTACTGTACTATTTCAGTATTTCTGCTTTAATTGTGGGTTTTTCTTCCTCCAGGTCCTAAACTCTTTAAGGAGCCCAGTGCAAAGTCAAACAAGCCAATCATCCACAATGCAATCTCTCACTGCTGCCTGGCTGGAAAAGTCAATGAGCCGCAAAAGAACCAGATCCTTGAGGTACGAGATGATGATCACATGATGATGGAAGCAGTTAAGTTGTTTACATGTTACATATCACCGGATCGGTCAACGGGAGGTTTAGAAATTCTCCGGTGTTAACAATTTACATTTTCATAAGAGTGTTTTTCAACCTTGGGGTCGCAACCCTGCATGGGGTCACCTAAAATTCAAATAGGGTCACATGAAATGTTTGGTAGTTGATTAAAAAAATATTTGATAACCGATAAAAATATGTCTTCAACTAATTGTTATATATTATATGTCGTGGCGCTTTGGCCCAGAGGCAATGGTCTGTTTGGGGGGCAACTGCTGCCCCCGCGAGCCGGTAACGGATAAGCGGATGCAAATGGATGGATATTATATGTATATATTATATATTCTTTGACTTTCATAAATATAAATCGAGTACAAATAAAATTCAGCATACAAAAATATCTCAGCTGGGGCATAATAATAATAATAATAATA